GGGTCGCGAGAGAGAGAGAGAGAGAGAGAGAGAGAGAGAGAGAGAGAGAGAGAGAGAGAGAGAATAGGTGGGAGAAAAGAAGAGCAGGAGAGAGTAGAGAGAACGTAAATGGACAGGGGTCTGTCTTTTAAAGGGGTCCTTTGCACCTGTGTGCAGACTTAGTTCCTTCCCATGGAACCCTGGGCTGATCCGGGTACTGCCTGAGCAGATTCCGGCAGGTAACAGAGGCAGGCCAGCATAATGCCTGAACCTTTCATGGTCTTCCTCAGTGACTTGAAACACTTTTGACACATTATCTCCTGGGTTGGGTCATAGCAGTGGAAAGCATGCTTATAGCATGCATAAAGTGTGGTCTCCAGCATTTAGGACAAACAGAAGGAAAACAATACATTACAAACCCACAACCCTCTCTCTTAAACTGCTGGTGAAGGAAACCAACACAACACATTTTACTTCCCTCTGCGTCTTAGCAATAAAGAACTAAGAACAAACTGTAGGGGCTGACTCACAAGATGAAGTGTTCCCAAATGGTCCACACAGGAGCTCTTCCAAGAATGTATAATTTTCTAAGTTATTAAAGAATCACTTTAAGTGATTCTCTTTAGAACTATTGTGAATTTTAATTTTAAAAAATTAAGTTGTGGTATTTATATCTTTGGGGGTGGGTAATGCTTTGGACCGAACCTAGGGTATTATGTGCTTGCCAGAGAAGGGAAGCTATATCCCCCAGCTGGTTTAAAAAAAAAAAACTTTTTAAAGATTGTATTTATTTATTTATTTATTATGTATACAACATTCTGCTTCCATGTATATCCATGCACTCCAGAAGAGGGCACCAGATCTCATAACAGATGGTTGTGAGCCACCATGTGGTTGCTGGGAATTGAACTCAGAACCTTTGGAAGAGCAGTCGGTGCTCTTAACCTCTGAGCCATCTCTCCAGCCCTGGTTTTAAATTTTTATATCAAATACTGATGGCAGCAACCATATTTAAAAAAATAGGTAACTGTCCTTCAACCATGTAATGACATTTTGAGAAGGTGCCATCCATGAACTAGAAATCCTTATGACAGCACACCCGCTGGACCTTGATTTTGGATGTCCTGGCTCTCAGAAATGTGAAGGCCTGCTGGGTGCTGGGATTGTTACTTACATTTGTAAGTAACAAACATAGAGCTACTTCTAGATTTCTAAGTTCTATACTGAGACAGTACCAGTTTTAAGCAGTCACTGTTGGTGTGGCTCAGTGGTAGTGTGTGTGTGCTGAACAGCACAAGGCTGAGTTCAAACCCGAGTCCCCAGCAGCTTCCCCTAACTATACATAACACAAGAAAAGCCACGACCTTCCTAAAGACAAAGTCTCCCACAACCTACTACAAATCAGCTCTGACTTAGCGCCCAAAGAAACAGCATGCATAAGTACAAAAATTAATTTACGTTAATTTTCCTTTTTGCCTATCCAAACAGGAAAAATGAGAATGACATTAGATACTGAGTTATAAAATAAAATGTAGTTTCTAAATTTTTTAAATTGTGAAAGGGGAACATCACTAGCAAAAGTTTTTCCAAGGCCAGGTGCGGTGGCTTACATGGGAGGCTAGGAGAAGACCAGGAATCCAAGGCCAGACTGAGGTACAACGACGTCAAGGACAGCTGGAGCTACGTAAGACTCTATCTTAAAACAAAAGAACCTCTTCTCAATTTTATTTCTACTAAAAACAAAGTTATATTTCCCTTATGATAAGAGTTTGGCTAGCACTATCAATTTCCCAGTCTTTAAAATACCAGAGCTGGGCTCAGGAGACAGCCCAGCCAAAGTCAGGCCCCACTTGCATCAGGACCCAAGTGCGATCATCAGAACATGAAAAAAGGCTGGGTGTGGTGGGGAACACTCACAATCCCAGCACCCAGCAAGCAAGTGGAAGATCTCTGAGGCTCAGTAACCAGGAAGCCAAGCCTAATTGGCAAATTCTGGGCCAATGAAAGACTTTGTCTCAAAACCAAACAACAACCTCTGCAAACAACAAGCCCAGTGTTGATAGCAATTGAAGACTAACCTAACACCAAGGCCTCTGGCCTCCACATGCATGCATGTATGTTATGCACATATGTATTTATGTATGCACGTACACTTACACACACATAGCACTGAATCAGCTGACTATGACAGTACTCAATTTCCTTAAGCTCATTTTATGATCACTGACGTTCTCCTTACAGCTAATATTCTGATTTGAAGAGGAGAAAAACTTGGTACCACATTTTTATTTTTTATTTTGTGGAGTATACACACTGTCATCTCACCTTGTTCCTCTTCACCACTAAGTACAGTAAGAGTTAGAACAGAGGGACAAACAGTATTCCAATGAGCTGCCTGGGCCTGTTTCACAATCATGCTTTCCCCAAGAAGCAAATTACACTTTGAAATGGTCCTCTGTACCTTGGAAGGGAGAGCTGTGTACCTGTAATGTATCTTGTCTTATGCTGATTTTCTGAGGTGCTTCATGGGCACTTTCTGAAGAATCCTCAAAATCATCAGTTTCTGAGGATGACGGACTCTCTACTGTCACAGTCACAGGAAAATCTGATTGCTTAAATAAAGAGGATAAAACTTAATGCCATAAGACAAATAATAAACACTAGAGGCCATCTGCTTAAATCAACCTGTCTGAAATGCCAAGTTATTACCTATAAATGGATCTCATTGCTCCTTAGCCTAACACAGTTAACAACCAGAAACCGCCACTAACTTTTTTTTTTTTCTTTTAGTTTTTTCAAGACAGGGTTTTCTCTGTGTAGCTCTCTGGCTGCCCTGGAACTTGCTCTGTAGACCAGGCTGGCCTCAAACTCACTGAGATCCACCTGCCTCTGCCTCCCAAGTGCTGGGATTAAAGGCCACCACCTAGCTGCTAACTTATTCTTGCTGTTACTACAGAACCCTGTACTGCATAAGGCTGATTATTGTTTGGCACTGTCCACATTACTTTGCTAAATTCCACCTAGATAAATCAAGTTTAGATCCAGGATAAACATTTCTTTTCAGGGTAATTTTTGTACTGGGGATGATAAATTTACTCTAAGGTGAGACATAAAGAGTGTGGAAGTATAATTTTTAGGTGAAAAGAATGAATAGAATATAAGGTCAATAAGCTTATCTGTAATTGATAAATAGTAGAATGGTTTTAAAAACTAAGTCACATACATATACAACCCACCAGAAAAACCTCACCTTCACTTCTCTGCATCCTAGACTAGTGTAGTAACAGTGTAACTCTCCTGTCTAGTTTCAATGAGGTGTCCCTCTAGCTAACAACTAATGTGACGATCATAACCCTACTGAAAATGTACACAATGAAACAGTCTAGGGACAACTCTGCAGGATATGCAAAACTTCAGTGGCAGAACGAGATGACCTCCTAATGTGTTAGTGTATACAGCGTAACACCAACACACAGGGTGGTACACTAGATGTTCTCCTCCGTGAATGACTACAGGGTGACACAGCACTCTGACGGAAGTAGCCTGATCCAGAACTGAGGCAGTGGGATTCTGTGTGTGTGTGTGTGTGTGTGTGTGTGTGTGTGTGTGTGTGTGTGTTTGTGTAAAATACATATAATACTCCAAAGCAACATTGGAACATTTTTGAGTGGTCATCCCCTGGTCAAACCTATTGTAAGCATCATCTTTTTTGTAGAAATAGTATCTACAAAGGGCCTCCCAAAGTATGTGTCATATACATGTAACAGTACTACGGTAGCCAGGAATCCAGAGAGCTTTAAATACATTTATGTCAGGGAGGGAAATCCATCCTACAGAGCTCTCTATTCAGCTGACCCTACACTTCTACCCCTGGTCAAACCTATTGTAAGCATCATCTTTTTTGTAGAAATAGTATCTACAAAGGGCCTCCCAAAGTATGTGTCATATACATGTAACTGTACCATGGTAGCCAGGAATCCAGAGAGCTTTAAATACATTTATGTCAGGGAGGGAAATCCATCCTACAGAGCTCTCTATTCAGCTGACCCTACACTTCTACCCTTATATGTCAGAAACATGACAGATACATACCTTCAGAAGGTTAGGCATATCACGAGTTTTGAACAATGGAAAACCCCTAAAAGGATATCAACAAGTTATATTTTAATGTATACACACTACATGATTAAACTTATTTGTATTATGTACACTATCCATATAGAACCACAGCACTAAATACCTCTAAATCACCTATGAAAAAAACCTGAACAGACCAAGCAGAATGTCATTCTGACAGGTTACTTAAACATAGCTGGTTCCCGAGGATTGGTAGATACAGTCTGCTTTTTTGTCTTTCCTTAGGGCACTCCTTTGCAGAGGCTATGCGTGAGTCACCCCTTTCCACTTAAGAAATCAACAGGAGAACTCCTATGTAACAGAAGCTCCTAAATGACAGCAGTCAGGACTGAGGCACATGACAGAGAACACCTTACCTGTTTCTTCTTGCACGTTCTGCAGTGCGCCAGGGCAGGAAACCTGACGCGCCTGGTGGCAGAGGATCTGGGGCATAGCAGTCTTTACTGAGCCCGTGTTTTCTCCCATTATTCCCAGGTTTCTTTGTAGCTAACCCTATGTTCAAGGAAGACATAAAAAAAAATCAAGATGTACTAAAGGACTACAGATTACCATTCACACACTCCTAACAGAACACAAATGAATAACTGACTACGATGCCAAGGCTATTACAGTACAAGTGATTTATAAACTTTGTTTTTTGAAAAGGGGTTTCTCTGTCTAATTCAGGCTACACTTGAACTTACGACCCTCCTGCCTGTGACTTAACAGTGTGTGGATTACAGGAATCCCTGCCCAAAAAGGCTGAAGGTTACTGAGTGGATGTTATCCTCATTTTGATGACTTTCAGTCTTCACATGAGTATAGAACACACACACACACACACACACAAAGATGAAATGAGGAACTTACCTTAAAGTCAACACTAAGAATTAAACATGAAATACTTGTAGCAGTTAAACCCATATATTAACACATTATTAGAAGAAATCATATATTAAAGTTCACATTTTAAGTTTTTGTCTCTAATATCACTGAGAACAAATAACAAAAGTTTACTAAATCAGTTGTATTTAATCTTATCCCTAGACATCAAAAGTTTTAGACCAGTCATAATAAGATCCTGTTTTGAAAAGAACAAAAAGTAATAAAAGTAAAATAGAATGGTCGTGTATATCCCTCTGGTTTGTTGTACTAGGATGCCATCTAAAATGAAGCACATGTAGTTATATAGCACATATATTTCTTTTAAAGTCATTTTAAAAAAAAGCACACTGATTTGTGTATGTGTGCTGTGGCATGCAGGTGGGCAATTAGAGGACAACTTGCAGGAGTCAGTAATATCTTTCCACCATGTGGGTCCTGAGAATCGAACTCAGGTCTTTAGGCTTGCTGGCAATTGCCTTCCCCTGTGCTGTCTCAGTGGCCCAAGGTGGATATTTCATACAGTGTAACTAACTCACTGATAATCACCACAGTCCTGTGCCATTTTCTGCATACATCAGTGTAACTATTAAATTGCAGGAACTCAGTTCGTCCTGTGCTATTGCATTTTTTATTTTATTACTATTATTTTTTAAGGCAGCGTCTCACGCAGTCCAGGCTAACCTCAAACTTGCTGTGTAGCTGAAAATCCCCTTGAACTGATTCTCCTGCCACTACCTCACAAGTACTTCCATGTTTGTTTTTTCATACAGAACAAGCATTCCAGTCTATGGCAGTATATATACCCCATTTCTTTGATTTTTCAGAAAAACGATAACATTTTTAATTAAGACTAAAAAGGTTTGTATGTATCTTGTTAGCTGAAAAAAAAAAGTAGTAAAATAAAAGTTCTTATCAACTTCTTGAACATATATTCCCACATAACTATGACACAATTAACATACAGGCTCTGTCCTTACCGAACTCTACACAGCAAGACACTGGTCAGCTGACCTCCATGTCTCCAAGTAACTGAGGCAAACAGCAACAAAGCCAAGAAATAAAATTCCTCTTACTCAGTGGCCTGTAAACTGCAACCACAGCTCCACTCTCTCCAACAATACTAACAAGCAAATTCTTGCTCTTCTAATTGTCTAATGCCTGGCTACATGCCATTCCTAAAGCCACAGCAATGCACGCATTGCATATCCTTTTCACTTCACTTTATAATGTGTATCAAAGCACCAACTGAAGTACTTTTTAGAAGACTTACTCATGACATAAACTTTAGGTAATAGCATGATACTCCAAATCCCACTTACACACAGTTTGACTGCTGAAGTATCACTGCTGTGATCGCACAGTGGGCAGACAGCCTGTACTTCCTCTTGACACAGCAAGCACTTGGCTACTGTTCAGGACACTCACTACTGCTTACTACAAATAAATTGCCTAATTCAAAGATACTTCTTTTTAAAGACAGGGTCTCATTATGTAGCTCTGACTGGCCTGGAACTCACTATGTAATCCAGGCTGGCCACAAATTCAAGAGATTCACCTACCTCTGCCTCCTGAACACTAAAGGTGTGCACTGTCACACTTAACCCACATACATCTTTTAATAAAACAAAAATTGCATTTCTGTCCTTTCCTTCCCCCGCCCCCTTCAGTTTTTTGAGACAGGGTTTCTCTGTGTAGCCCTGGCTGTCCTGGAACTCACTTTGTAGTCCAGGCTAGCCTTGAACTCATAAAGATCCGCTTGCCTCTGCCTTTATAGTAAGAACCTTTCAGTTTGTACTCAATTACAAAACTAATACATGGCTTGACTTTTAGATTAACTTGTAACACACACTAGAGAATTGTGCTGGCTAGTTTTATGTCAACTCAACACAAGCCAGAGTCATTCGGGAAGAAGAAACATCAACCGAGAAAATGGCCCCACAACAATGGCCTATGGGTCATTTTCTTAATTAATGACTGATGGGGCTCACCTCACTGTGGGAGAATTGTGCTGGCTAGTTTTATGTCAACTCAACACAAGCCAGAGTCATTTGGGAAGAAGAAACATCAACCGAGAAAATGGCCCCACAACAATGGCCTGTGGGTCATTTTCTTAATTAATGACTGATGGGGCTCACCTCACTGTGGCTTGTGCCACCCCTGGGCAGGATGAACAAGCCATGAGGATCAAGCCAGTATGTAGCATCCCCCATGATCCCTGCCATCAGCTACTCCCTCCATGTTTCTGCCCTGACTTCCCTGGCTGACGGACTGTGATGTTGTAAACTGACACAACCCTTTCATTCCCAAGCTTCTTTCAGTCATGGAATTTTGTCACACAAAATCATAACTAAGATAATTTTTTTTTTTTTTTTTAAGCTGGGCATGGTGATGTTTCCCTGAAATCCCAACTACTTCAAGAGTTTGAGACAAGAAGATCATAAGTCTCGGGACAATCTGGGCAACACAGCACGAAAAAAAATCTCAAAAAAAAGCAAGCCTTCCTAATGTGTTCCAGCTCCAGGTCTGAAAACTTGTCTTCCAAATTGCTTTACACCAAGGTTTTTACATCACTGAAATGTGTTACCCGATTCAGTCACTTAAAAAAAAAAAAATCAAGCTGTGCATGTAGCTGGGTGGTAGAGCTCTTGCCTCCCATGCATGGATTCTGTCCCCAGCACTGTTTGCTAAGCCTGCATCGAAGGGGAATTCTAAATCTTAACTGTATGTTATAGGAAATCATCACCACTTAGGAAACAGTCAAGAGGATGAGTATTTATTTTACATATAAAAATTCAATCAGTAATGGTAGTTAATTAAAGAAAACAAAACAAAACAAAAAAACAGAAATCCTTCCAAATGATTCATTTACTATTTCTACATGCCATGAATTTTCATAACTTAGACTAGAATAATTATAGTCTGGGCCTCAGAATATGCTGTAATCAACACTGGTAATTACCCAAGAGATGAGACTTTAATATTATTGTCCTAAAAACATGCTAGCTGTAAGTTTTGGTGCCACTAAAAAGCCAAGACGGACAGAGTCGGTTACCTATTCTAATGGTGGCTTTTCCTTTCCGACTGTTTCCTAGGACGATCGTTCTCTTTTTCTGCTTAGCGGTTTTGGACGATTCCTTCACTGATGGGGACGTTATCCACTGGTACTGGAAGAGAAAGTCAGGTGACATCAGCTACAGACCATAAGAGGACTCCCCTTTAAGTGGCCATGACGAAGATATTCTACACTAATAAAGCTTTGCAATTTTCAGTTCTCAGATCCCAAATTAATGATACAATATTTATAAAAACAAGCTAGTAAAGCCACCTGATCTGGAGGCAGCTGTGCTCACCAGTATGCCACCAATGTACCAAAGCCATTGATTTCACTTCAGATAGCAGAAAAGGATCTTGACAATTTTACCAAAAGCAGAAGAAAATTGTAATTACAGAGAAAATCTTTTCATAGGACTGAAACGAGTTATACCTCTGACTTGGCACTCCTCCCATTCTGAAGAACCCTTTTGATAACCGCTTTCATCATAGAATGATCTAAAGTAAAAGAAAAGGGAGACTGTTCAGTTGTCTTCCAGTGACCAACCAGGTCTACTAAAAACAGGAGCCAACTAACTGCTGATTTTTCCCATAAAACTAAAGCACCGACTCACATCTGCTTCTGAGTACCCCTCTCCCTCACAGACTTAGCTTATTGTAACACTCTGCCTACACCCACCAGCACATTAGGTCTGAAGTGGCTTTGGAAACCTCTGCCTAGAAAACCAAAGGTTGCACTAAATGACAATTAACACAGCCAAACCAAAGTCCTGATATGGCTTCTACAATGCTCTTCCACTCCAGCTTCCCTTTCTCAGTAAAACAGCAGTACCATCTTTTCCAGGACATCTGAAAACAACTACTTCCTTCACAGCCAACATTAACCTATCTGCAAATCTTCTTACTCCCTGTTTCAACCTTCTGTCACCCTCTGCCTTCCACTGTGAGCTATGCCACAGTTCCTTCTGGCTTGGACTTCTGTGCTAGCCTCCTAACTTGTCCCTTCTCTCCTCCCTGGCTCCACTACTATCCTTCACACCAAGTTCATCTGCCTGAATACCACTCAGATTATGCTTTTTCCACCTCGACTCCTTGTATGGCTGCCGGCTCACCTAGGAGGGCCATGCATTGAAGACCATACACTATCAAGGCCCTGGCCCCTGTTTGACCACACAGCACATCGGGTTTTCCCTCATGTTTTCTTCTTTTTCTTTTTTTTTCTTAAAGGTTCATTGAGTAATTTATTTGTATGTTTGTCTGTTTTGGCACCATGTTTATGCAGGTGGACAGGGAGGCCAGAAGAGGGCAAGGGATCCCTTGGAACTAGAGTTACAGGTGGCATGGGAGCTGAGAACCAACCCTGGGTCGTCTGCAATAGCAGTAAGTGCTCTAACTACTCAGCCGTCTCTCCATCCATCCTGCCATCTTGTACTATACACTGAATGCTTTATTCCAAAATGCACCTCCCTCAGAACACCCACGTCATGCTCACTCAGTTTTCCACTTACACTTCAGCTCTCCAGTTGAGTTACCCATCTGTCTTCTTAAATTATCTTTGCACTTCCTACTATTTGAAATTCCTTATCTACTTATATATTTACATTTGAACTCCTTTACTGATGGAGAGCAAGACTTTGTCTAGCTGTACACTGCAATAAGCTCAGTATCCGAATCAGTGTTTGGACACATACTTATTCAAGTGGCCACCAGAACAATTTCGCAGTACAGTTCATCTAAAACAATGCATTGTCTGCTAAGAGCACATAATACAAACTAGAATATAAACACATTGTTTTTTAAAAAAATTTCAAATATACAAATTCATTTTGTTATGTTATTTTGTAATTAATTTTAAAGAGGTGACATACCAATGAGTAGATTTTTTCTTATATCCAGAACGACCAGGGTTCTGTTGGTTTCTAGGGCCTCCAGTAAAGCCTTGGCTCCTTCACTAGTGAGGCCACACTGCTGCAGGTCAAGCGCTTTTGACAAAAGACAACAGGTTACTTGCTGACACACACACATACACACAACCAGCAAGTTTGCTATAACCACTGCTATAATCTCTAAGTGTACAGACATAACTATTTTTTAAAGACTGAAAATATGCCTAAATGAACAGTAGTTACTCCTAGATGTTTTGATTACAGGTAAAACTGTTTTCTGTGGAGAATATATGTGACTTTAGTTTAAAAATACAATAAAAGCTATTAGAGGATTTATAAGTTCTGAAGTGCATTTAACTTACCTCTGAGCCACAAATCCTCACTAAGAGAGTCTGCAAAAGCACTTGCACCCTGGTCACCAATTAGTGTGTTGCAGTTCAGCGTGATGCGCCTTAAGCCAGCCATGCCGTCAAAATCAGGTCTCCTGTATCGAAGACTCTCAGCCCAGGTTTCTTCATGCCTTCTCATGGTCTGGTACTTCAAAGATAACAGCATGGAGTCAAGCGCTGGAGAAGGAAATAAGAAACCTAAAGGGCACTAGGCATGGCTGATTATACATACCACACCTAAGTACAAATATGCCAGCAGTCTGCCCTCAGAAGGTCCCAGCGCAGGGCTCAAGTTGTGAGAATAGTTATGGGTAACTGCTGCTCAATAGTTATGTAAAGATAATTCACCAAAGTTTCAAAAATTTTACTTTCCTTTTCTGCCACGTTAAAGAACTGGTTTAACATTGCTACACTTCTAAACTCTATCTTGTCCTCTAGGGATTTCCAATACAATTTAAACATTTAATATGTATCATGGTTATTAATAAGATACATAAATCTGGGCAGTGGTGGTGCACACCTTTAATCCTAGCACTCAGAAGGCAGAGGCAGGCAGATCTCTGTGAGTTCGAGGCCAACCTGGCCTACAAAGCTAGCTCTAGGACAGCTAAGGCTGCACAGAGGCAGGCAGATCTCTGTGAGTTCGAGGCCAGCCTGGCCTACAGAGCTAGCTCTAGAACAGCTAAGGCTGCTAACCCTGTCTTGAAAAAAAACAAAACAAAACAAAAAACTACACAAAGCTGTATAAATACCTTATGTATGTTTTATGTACAACAGAATCTGTGTGTGTGCATGTGTGATGTTGGGGATTAAATCCAGAGCCTTGGACGCACCAAGCGAAGTGCTCTACTACTGAACTGCTAGGCCAACAGGTACAACTTTTACAAGATAAAAAGATACACACAGAGGCTGCAACATCATCTTTTAACCCAATGGCTCTCAGGTACTTCTTAGGGCACACATACCATCTTTAAAGAGAGTCTGGCATGCATTAGGAAAAAATGGTTTTTTAGTCATAGTTTTAGCCTTTAAGACTATAACCAATTCTCTGTATTCACCAGGGAAATTTTGCCAACATGGGACACTGATGTTAAAAGGAACCACACCTCCCCGCTTGAACATCAAAAGAGCAAAGCCATCTGTGACATGACACTGACAGGAGTAATGTTAATGCTATTTTCCTATTGAAAATAACCACATGAAAACAATAAATCCCAGGAGGACTGCACAATGTTGTCTTAGGGAGAACTACACATGAGACGCTCAGGGTCAACTGTGACTTTACAGAGGTGAAGCAGCTCTCGAATGCTCTCAGATGCTAAATGTGTCAGGGCTTTCATTTAGGCCGGCTGGCTTCAGCATCCACACACTTAGTTAGGCTAGTGGTTACATAGGGCTGTAATCCCAGCCGCTAGTAGGTTGAGGCAGGCACATCACAGGTCCAGTGTCTGTCAGGGCTACAGAGTGAGTTCAAAGCTAACCTAGGCAACATAATGAGAACCAGTCTCAAAATATTTAAGTCAAAAAAAAAAAAAAAAAAAAAAAAAAAAAAAAAAAAAAAAAAGATGGGATATCCTTCAGTGGTAGAGCACTTGCCTAAAGTGTGAGGTTATAGTTCAATCCCCAGTATAAAAATACCACTCCCCCAAATTAAAACAACAACAAAAACCTCACAAAAATCGAGTGGCCACACTAGAAAACAGAATCCACTATGTACCACAAGGGTCAAAGTATTAACTTTGTAAAGGTCCAAAAGTAAACTTTCTCTGCTCTGTGGGTCTGAAACCAACTACTTTTGCCAACTACTATGCAGACAACTAGGCAAGGTTGTGTTCCCAACACCCTTACTTGCAAAAAAATGTGATGGACTAGATTTGGGTCTTGTTCTATCCCTTTTGTTTGTTTTTACAGACAGGGTTTCTCTGTATTGCTTTGGAGCCTGTCCTGGAACTCGCTCTGTAGACCAGGCTGGCCTGGAACTCATGGAGATCCTCCTGTCTCTGCCTTCCCAGTGCTGGGATTACAGGCATGCACCACCACTGCCCAGTCTTAGTTCTATCCTTGATCCATGCCAGCAAACTACAAAAATTAGCCAGCTGAGTTGACATACACCTCTAATCCTGCAATTGGGAGGCTGAAGGAATGGGACTGAAGCAAGGTCCAGGGCAGTATGTAGGTGTGCACAGCAAGTCCAAACAGCCTGGACCACACAGCACTATTCTGTCTCAACCCCCACTAGCCTCAATATCCTATTAAAGAAAAATTAGGGAAAAATGTTAAGTCCTTTATTTTTTTGGTATAACTCCATGGCAAAAATCACTAAAAGAAAATAAATATTTTTGTTTTTTGATTTTTGAGATAGAGTCTCCCTATGTAGGCCCTGGCTGTCCTGGAAGTCACTATGTAGACCAGACTGGCCTGGAACTCACAAGAGATCCACCTGCCTCTGACTCCCAGTGCTGGGATTAAAGGCGTGCACCACCAATGCCCGGTTAATGTACTGTTCTTATTAGTTTAGTTTGTAAGTCACAGTAGTTAGAGAGACGTCAGTAATTGGAGATTGTAATAGTATAGTTTCTTTCAGTGCTGCAACATTTTCAACAACTAAAATAATAAAGAAAGTATTATAATTTAAAGTCTTTCTTTCTTTCTTTCTTTCTTTCCTTCTTTCTTTCTTTTTTCAAGACAGGGTTTCTCTATAGCTTTGGAGCCTGTCCTGGAACTCACTCTGTAGACCAGGCTGACCTCGAACTAACAGAGATCCACCTGTTTCTGCCTACCTCAGTGCTGGGATTAAAGGCCTGCACTACCACTGCCTGGCTTAAAGTCTTATTTCTAAGATTAAGTGAGTATCTTTAAGGATCAGAATGCTAAGCTAAACAATGGCTACATCATACAATGAAACTAAAATTGCAATCTTATCCATATGGATAAGAAAAAAAATCACCTTAACCCCATACCAAAGTATTAATGTGCTTCAACCACATCATCCATTCAAGGCTGAATGTACAGTCACCTTTAAGATCTTGGCCATATGATCAGCTCCTTGCCACGTCAGATTACATCCTGTGAAGTTGACGGTCTTGAGAGTGACAGAGTTCTTTATACCCTGACAAACAACTAAAAAAAAGAGAAATGACACACAGTCAGACCAAGATCCTGTCAATTCGGTCACTCCTGGTTTATTCACTGTCCTCAGTCTATGCTAGTTTAGACTAAAATCACTGGACACAGTGGCACATGTCTTTAATGCCAGTGTTTAGGAGGCAGAGGCAGGCGGATCTTCCTGAGTTTGAGGTCAGCCTGGTCTACATAGTGAGTTCCAGGCCAGCTAGAGCTACATAGTGAAACCTTGTGTCTCAAAACAAAACAAAACATGATGGCATTACAGCTGTTTTACTTGGAGATGGTCATGACTTGTTATTCTCTTTGCTCTACAGACCAGACTGGCAGAGAACTACCAGCTTCTGCCTCCCACATGCTAGGATTAAAGGTGTGCACTACAAAGCCCGGATCCCACAAATATTCCTTAAAGGAAAATCATAAACTATGAGCAAACAAGAACAGAATACTAAACACTACAAACTGTTTGTTTTATGGCATATCACAACCGTAAGTAAAGTTCAGACACTCTTAGGCATGATAAGCATTTCCCTGTAGAAGTGAGAACGGATTGGCATCTGAGCAGGCGCAGAAGGCAGCTCAGGCTGAGGAAGCAACCCAAAAAGGTAGACAGGGGTCATAGAACACAGGCAAACCTGAGATCAGCCTCCCGGGACAACAGTTAAATGGCATGACTCACTTTCTAAACCTCCATCTCCAATTGGACAATTGGCAAGAGACAGGTGCACCAAAGACGCTGATTTACTCAATCCCTTAAGAGAGGAAAAAGTAAAATATGAATTGGGTATTTTCCCACCAAAACCAGTTATCAAATGTCTGCAGGCCACATGAACAAGGCTTACCTTTGTTAAACTAGTCAAATCTCTCTCTCTCAGAATCAACCCATTTAGCTCCAGGTTTCTTAGCACACTTGATATACTTAAGCAGCCTTTAAGAGCCTTACATAACTGGAAGCTCATGTCCTTGGATCTTATCGCAGGAACACGATTTCTGCAAACTCTGCGTGTATCAGAACCTAAAACAAATTCATTGTAAAAATCAGTGATATCAACCATACAACTTTAGTATTAAACTCCTAACTGCTAAGGAACAGAAATGAACCATTCAAAACCACATGAGATACATAAACATAAATCATGCATGATATGGTTTCTTATGAAGGCAAAGAATTTGCACCTAAGGGATATCTTCAAGGGATGTCTCAATTTGCATATAAGAGAACCAGGGAGTAGGAGCCGACTGCGGGAAGGGATCCAAGCCTGACACCTGCTGGACAGTATAAATACTGCAGGTGTGAGGGCTAGACCCTTAAGGATAGAAAAATGAGAGAAATTCAGAGGCAAGTCTGCAAGAGTTGGCTTTTACAACACAAGTGATGAGGCTGCCATTGGTACAATGAGGACAGTCAGAAAAATGTGCCCCACTGTTGGACTAATTACACAAAGAGAATGACCGGGAAGAGGCACCTAAATTCCACAGATTAGGAAAAACACCCCTTCCAACAGGTTTGGCTAGAGTACAGCTCATATTCCAGTGCCTTTATAAAGGAGGCACACACTGCAGCCAGTATGTGCTGGGGCTGTGCTAAGTAAGATAGCTTGCACAGAGGGAAACAGTTCAGGAGTGGCAAAACTAGCCAGGAGCTTCTTCAACAGTACAGGCTGACACAGCTGAGAGATGAAAAGTCTAAGAGGTCAAAAATCTATGGCCTAGACTCATTGGATACAAGACATGGAAACACTGCAAAGGTTGTCTGAAGGGAAATGGTCCACAGGCTGTCTCCTTATATTCAACATAAAATGCCTGCCTCGATTCTAGGCAACTCCCATCTTTCGTTTAATTTGGATCATTATAATGACAGTAGAGGGATCACAACACTGCCCTTGAAGAAGGATCACAAATGGTGCTCATCTCAGACCCAGCAAAGGGCTAAGCTTTCAAATAATCACTTCTCCTAGCTTATCACACCTTCCCTCTCAGCTGGCAACCTGCAGACACCTAACACATGCAGTGTGCTTTAATCCTAAGAATCCACAACAAGCTTGTTTCAGTGGCTTTTCAGATGTGTGACAATTAAGAGTTCAAAATATGAAATTCAAACCCTAGGTTGCCCCCAACACCTGTTTCCCTTACATGATACTCTCTCTAAAAATTAAAAAAAAAGGGGGACTGAGATAGCAAAATGGATAAAAGTTCACGAAAGGAAAACTGTGAGGACCCAAATTTGGATCGCCTGCAAGGTAAAAGGCAGTAATCTCTGGGAAGCCACAAGAGATGATCCCTGGGGCAAATGAGCTAACCAGACAATGGAATCAGCAAGTCCCCAGAGATCAGAAAACAGAAACAAAAACAACCCTGTCTCAGTAAATAAATTGGAAAGCAATAGAGGAAGAGACCCAGTGTCATTTCTAGCCTCTATGCACATGAGAACATGGGTCTACACACAAAAACATATACCTGCATGCACACACATACCACATACACACACACAAAAAAATTGTTTGCAAATATAAAGAAAAGAGGATGTGAAAAATAGGTTTCATGTTGGGAAGACGACTCAGCAGTGAAGGGCACTTGCTGTACAATCTGGAGGTCTGGAGCTCCATATCCCAGCACCCACATAAACTAGGGCTTAAGGGCAAGGCTTGTGACCCCAGTTTGGAAGCAGGTGGAGAGGGCTGGCTGGCTTCCAGCCAAGCTGAGGAAACAGAGCCCCAGGGTCAAGAAAGACACGCTCAAGATAATGGGTGGAGGTTGACCAGAGGACACCCAACACCTCTTTTGGTTTCTCTGTGTGTGCACATGTGCCGATACTAGGATACACAAACACAAACACTTTAAGAAAAAAATCAAGCAAGGAGCCACACATAACTGGATGATAATTTTTTGGGCTTCTGGACACATGTTCATGAATGACTACAGAAGCACCACACTTAGCTTGGGGGTTGTCAACAATTTAAATACCAGGAACATGCAAACATGTTGTCTGCAAATAACCATAATCAACTCCTTACAATGAGATGTTAAGAAAATAACAGTCCCTTGGGCTGGAGAGATGGCTCAGCGGTTAGGTGTACTTGCTGTTCTTGCAAAGGATACAAGTTCGGTTCCCAGAACCTATATGGTGGCCCATAACCATGTGTAATTCTAGTTCCAGGGGTACCAGCCCCTTTTCTGGACTCCGCAGGCACTGCACACACATACATACACGAGGTCATCAAACTCACACAATTTTCTAAAAATCATAAAGGATGTCCCTGAAGGGGATTTGTTTTGTTATACATTTTCTTTCCATTTTTAACCCCCTTCTTTTCTGTATTAGGCTTGCAATGAAGAGTGAGGGGAGATTGTAAAATTAAAACCCTAAAGGAAAGAGGGCGGGGCAGAAGCATTCATTGTTAAACCATTGGCTAAATTATCCTGCATATCCCCCTCGGGGAGCATAGCTGGTCATCCTCGCTGTGAGAAAGGCCAATCTCGAGCCCTAGTCACTATCTTGACTACTCTTCCAGCTAACCGCCAGAGGC